TACTCAGAAAGTTGCGCCGTAAATTCCCAATAATTTACTCAGTAAATTCAATGTAAATTCCTCAGTAAATTCTCAGTAAATTCCTAGAAATTACTCAGTAAATATCTAATAAATTCTAAAAAAATTGTTCAGTAAATTCCCAATAAATACTCCGTAAATCACTAAGTATATTACTGAGTAAATTCTCGGCAAATTCTAAAAAAATTCTCAGTACTTTAATCATTAAATTTCCAGTAAATTTCTTAGTAAATTTTCAGTAAATTCCCAATAAATACTCCGTAAATCACTAAGTATATTACTGAGTAAATTCTCGGCAAATTCTAAAAAAATTCTCAGTACTTTAATCATTAAATTTCCAGTAAATTTCTTAGTAAATTTTCAGTAAATTCCCAATAAATACTCCGTAAATCACTAAGTATATTACTGAGTAAATTCTCGGCAAATTCTAAAAAAATTCTCAGTACTTTAATCATTAAATTTCCAGTAAATTTCTTAGTAAATTTTCAGTAAATTCCCAATAAATACTCCGTAAATCACTAAGTATATTACTGAGTAAATTCTCGGCAAATTCTAAAAAAATTCTCAGTACTTTAATCATTAAATTTCCAGTAAATTTCTTAGTAAATTTTCAGTAAATTCCCAATAAATACTCCGTAAATCACTAAGTATATTACTGAGTAAATTCTCGGCAAATTCTAAAAAAATTCTCAGTACTTTAATCATTAAATTTCCAGTAAATTTCTTAGTAAATTTTCAGTAAATTCCCAATAAATACTCCGTAAATCACTAAGTATATTACTGAGTAAATTCTCGGCAAATTCTAAAAAAATTCTCAGTACTTTAATCATTAAATTTCCAGTAAATTTCTTAGTAAATTTTCAGTAAATTCCCAATAAATACTCCGTAAATCACTAAGTATATTACTGAGTAAATTCTCGGCAAATTCTAAAAAAATTCTCAGTACTTTAATCATTAAATTTCCAGTAAATTTCTTAGTAAATTTTCAGTAAATTCCCAATAAATACTCCGTAAATCACTAAGTATATTACTGAGTAAATTCTCGGCAAATTCTAAAAAAATTCTCAGTACTTTAATCATTAAATTTCCAGTAAATTTCTTAGTAAATTTTCAGTAAATTCCCAATAAATACTCCGTAAATCACTAAGTATATTACTGAGTAAATTCTCGGCAAATTCTAAAAAAATTCTCAGTACTTTAATCATTAAATTTCCAGTAAATTTCTTAGTAAATTTTCAGTAAATTCCCAATAAATACTCCGTAAATCACTAAGTATATTACTGAGTAAATTCTCGGCAAATTCTAAAAAAATTCTCAGTACTTTAATCATTAAATTTCCAGTAATTTCTCAGTAAATTATTCAGTAAATTCCCAATAAATACTCAGTAAATCACTAAGTAAATTACTGAGTAAATTCTCAGCAAATTTCCAGTAAATTACTTAGAAAATTTATCAACAAATTAAACAGTAAATTCTCGGTAAATTACCTAGTAAATTCTCTGTCAATTCCCTGTCAAATCCCAGCAAATTACTCTGTAAGTTCTCAGTAAATTCTCTGTAAATTACTAAGAAAAATTGCCTCTAAATTCTCAGTAAATTACTCATCAAATTTTCAGTAAATTACTCAATAAATTACTCTTTAAATTCTCTGTAAATTACTTAGTAAGTTCCCTGTAAATTCTCAGTAAATTACTCGATAAGTTCTCACTAATTTTTTTGTAAATTACTCAGAAAATTACTCAGTAAATTGTTAGTAAATTCTCAGTAAATTACATACTAAATTCTCAGTAATTTACTCGGTAAATTTTCAATAAATTCTCTATAAATTCTCAGAAAATTACCTAATAAATTCCCAATAAATTCTCAGTAAATTCTAAAAAAAATCTAACTAAATTACTCAGTGAATTCTCAGTAAATTACATAATAAATTCTTAGTAAATTCTCAGTCAATTGCACTGTCACGACCCCAAACCGCTCCTAGTAGTTTGGTGCCGTGATGGCCAGTAATCCGTAATTACCGAAGGCCAACTTTCCAAAGTTTAACATAATCAGAGTATGGATGTAGGGGCTCACAAATGCGGAAGCAATGAATCAAAATACATGTAGTCCACAAGAGCAGTGCATAAGTCCGATAAAATGGCAACCATCTTTACAACTTTACAAA